TCTGAATGGACATGGAGCTGGTGGCGAACACTGGAGCCGATGCTGCATATCGAGCAGGACGACCCACCGGTGCAGCCTGACACGCTCCAGGTGACGAGTTCGGCAGAAGCTTCCCTCCCCGGCTGCTCTATCAGTGATGCTGATTTGGCTCGGCTGGTAGCTGATCAGGAAGAGAACCGTCGAGATGAGGAAGCACTTCGAGAACAACAAGAACGGTTCGAGGCCGAGGAGTCGAGGTACTATGAGGGTGTGGAGGCTGTGGTGGCGGCAGAAGTTGAGCTCCAAACGTCCAGGGCATGTCAAAACTGGGATGACTGGGCGGTCTGGGACGAGATGAATCGGCCTCGGAGTCGCAAGAGGGCATTTCTCGAGGTGACGGTCAGTGCGCCTGGGGACGAGGGTGGTGGACAACGATGGTCTGTGCCCTTTGACCCGAACTCCGGGCAGCAGGTGGTCTTGAAGTTCCACAAGTTGGAAGTGGAGCCAGAGGAGGCTGGGGGCCACGAGATTCGAGCAGGGGACCATGGTGATAGTGCTGGGAGCGATGCCTCTACGATCCCTGCTGCTAGTGGAGCTCTGCCCCGTGAGCCCTGTCAGCTACCTGCCTGTGGAGTTCCTCTGGAATTTCAGCAGTTTCAAATGGTCTGCGAGCAGTGGAATGCAGGCCAGCTCTCCAACGATGCAGTGAAGCAGCGGTTCGGAGTGGACACCTTGGAGTTATTGGAGACCCAGAAGATTGTGTTGGGAGCTGACCACTGTCGGGGGCACTCAGCATGGAATGGGTCGTCTATGGAAGCTTCGCATCCACTTCGGGGTGAAGGAAATGGGATGATGTCTGGTGGTCCGTTGCTGGCGCAGCACGTGGAGGGTAAGCCGAGTGGGACGAAGGAAAATGGGTCGTCTGTGGAAACTTCGAGTCCGTGTCGAGGTGCAGGAAATGTGTTGATGTCTGGTGGTCCGTCGCTGGCGCAAGATGATGAGGGCAAGTCAAGTGGGACGCAGGAAGAGGGCGCATGCACGGACACACTCCTTGACGAAATGTTGGCCACGTGTAAGAGCACCACTGAGGCAGATTGAAGAACTTTCGGAGGTGTCTTTTAGGCCTGCCCAAACTGGGCTCTCCGCCTACTAACTTAGCAGCGGAAAAAGGCTCTCAAAAAAAAAAACCCTAAACTAAACCCTATAAGCCCTAAACCCTATGCCCCCTGAGTATGCCACCTGAGCCGAGGCGAGCTCCTACTTCGTGGAGACCGGCCTCTTTCACGGTGAGGCCTGACATTGACAGGGTTTAGGTTTAGGGTTAAGGGCTTCGGGTTTAGGGTTTAGGATTTAGGGTTCAGGGTTTGGGGTTTAGGGTTTAGTGTTTGTGGAAATTGACGAAAGAAACGTTGAGTGTGTCTCTACATTTTCGGGTCCCTTTTGAGGTCCTGTTTGTAAGGCTGCCGCCCTAGGTGGGACCCTAAGTCAGAGAACTACCCATGTGACTCTGTTGAAGTTACTACATGGCTGTAGATGCTGTCGTAGAACACAGTTGAAGAAGAACCCATATTGCGACACTTTGAGGTAGAATACTGCATTTGGAAGCTAGATCATAGCGGTCTGAGGGGACCTTAGCTAGGCTCCTTGCCTCACAGCATTACTTCATTGTCTCTTTGCTGGCTACGTAAGAAGGAGATAGATGTCTTAGCAGTGTAGCTTCTTGTTGTGGTGAAGGTGTCTTGCTCGAAACGTATGCTGCGACATCCCCCGAGCACCTAACCAGCCAAGCCCCAAAGCACTAAACCCCAAAGCCCGAAACTCTTAGAGCCTTAGCCTAGCGCACATGTTTAAACACCAGCCACAAGGAACGTCATGGGCGCCGGGGGGGGGGGGGGGGGGGGATGGGGGGGGGGGGGTTGATAAGCCGACACCCTGAAGGGCGCGCTGAAGGCCTTGTCCAGCGGCCTCTTCCGGCAGGCGCGGCTATTCGTCGCAGCCTAGCAGAGTCTAGCCTTGTAGTACAGTAGTTCGACAATCCATCGTAGTCGCAGCCTTCAGCGTGATGGATTTGCGAAGTAGGCCACGAATAGGACACCAGATGCGCATAGTGAATGCCTCATGGTGTGATGTGGTGTAACTACTCGCTCGTTTGACCCTCCGTGCTGTGCCGGTCTGGCGATGGGTCGTTGCTTGCTTTCCAGGTGATCTCGATCGAGGCCTGCGGGTGTTTTCGAAGCCAGCTTCAGCTCCTCCGTCTGTCTGCCACTCTGACCTTCCAACTCGCTGAAGCAAGTCTCAAGTAGGAAGCAGGTTTTCACGTGGTTCCTAAACCCTACAAGGTGCTCTCTGCAGCAGTCACAGGTCAATGCCGAGCTCGTCGAGAGGGCTCGGGAGAAGCTGAAGCTGCCGCTGGCTGCGGGGCTGCTGAAGGTGGCTTGGGGTACGAAAGCCTTATTCTCCAGTAAGGCTTTACCAGGAGTCTTCTACGGGGTTTTGGAATTGCTGAAGGGCCTTACAGGGTGTGTGTGATAAGGTCTTGTTATGTGTGTATTGCATGGCAACGTCTCTTGGTCAAACGACGATCGCGCCCCATATCCGAAGCCCTAAACCTTAGCTATTAACCCCTTGCATCACTTAAACCCTGAACCCTAGCCCCTGAACCCTAAACCCTAACCCCTAAACCCTAACCCCTAAACCCTAAACCCTAGACCCTAACCCCTAACCCCTAAACCCTAAACCCTGAACCCAAAGTCCCCAAGAGGTTGTGCATGACGACTCTTGCAACTTGTGGCATCACATCCAAGACCTTCACGAGCCTCTCGGCCGCACCGGAATTATAACTCCGTTTCTTCAAGGCTCAATGAACATGCGGGTTTAGGGTGTAGAGTTAACGTTTAGGTTGTCCATGATGACCCCGATTTGAGGACGGGGGCTTGATTGATGAGGGGTCAACAGTGGTACAACGGACGGTTCCATGGCCACCCTGAGACAAGGCCTTGCACTTTCTTCCTGGATGCTCACGGCTACTGGGTGCAGGCAGGAGTATAGAGCTGTGTCAGCAGGAGCACGGACCAGAACTGAGCTCTTTCGGTGGAGATCGGGTTTAGTTGGGTTGGTTCAGTTGAATCCTATAATCATCCTAGACCGATGTCTGAGGCGCATAGACGTCAAGATGGGAATCGTTCAGGAGTGCCCTGCATCCTCTGGCGATCCTGAATCTGATGACCGGGATCCGGATTCGCAGTGCCCCGTCTGCAAGCAGTGTGGTTGGCTGCGACTCTGCTGTTCTGCCTGTCCTGCCTGCGCTTCCTGCCCTTCCCGCCTGCACCTGCCTGCCGGCCTCCCGGTTGATGTTGCCACAGAGGTAGTCCAGGAGCTAGAGTACGTACTTCACAAAGATGTCGCCGTGCCTGGCGCCCAGGAGTCCGTGCCCACTGCTCGCTGAGCTGGAGGTCTTCTGTGGTGATTCCGCAAGCGCTTCAAGCGGAGTCCAGGGGTCCCCTTTCAGAGGACGAAGAGACAGCAGAGTAGCCTAAGCCAAAGGGGCCAACTAGACCGGAAGCGTTGCCGTTGGTGGCCACTGGCATGTGGAGGCGATTGCCCAGCACCCACTGGCGCGGCAACACAAGGCGCAGCAAAGAGATCCGCTGGTTTGCTTGGAAGTACCAGGAGCAAGGTAAAACTTTTCCATGGTGCAGGCACGTGAAGCACCACGCTTTAATTAACTCTTCCTAGTCTAGTTACCGGTCCTCCCCGGAGAAAGGCAGGGCCGTACTAGAACATCGGGCCCAAGCTAAGGTACAACAAAGCAGTTCTTGATGCCAGCAGCTGTGCCCTGTGTGCACACTCTTTCTCATCTCGGACGGTGATAACTCTGAACTGCGCAGGTGTTAATCGACGATCGCCGCTGCCTGCAGCCGGGATGGGAACACCCAACACAAAGTCGCGAAGCTGCAAATTGCTAACAATCTGGCTGCTCAGCTGTTGGCAGGAAGCAGTATCCTCATACCCTCGGAACTGTGGGGTCTAGGGTTTAGGGTTTAGGGTCAAGGGTTTAGGGGTTTAGGGTTTAGGGTTTAGGGTTTAGGGGTCTAGGGTTTAGGGTTTAGGGTCCCTATGAAGACTGTATAAGTGTAGGACATAAGCTAAAGCTGAACCCCCAACCTAAACCCTAAACCCTAATGCACTAGAGGTATCTTTGCACGCCCGAAGCACCTCAGATGCCGGAAAACGTGAGGCTGGTGGCGTGGTCTCACCGAGGAGAGACCTTGAGAAAGAGCCTGTCATCTGTGCTTCGAGGCTCTGTTCACTTAATAACCGTTTAGGGTTTAGGGTTTAGGGTTATTAAGTAAGCTTGCCCTATGATTCTTTACAGCGCTTATAACAAAGATTCATCCCTAGTCTAGATGTCTAGATTTGCCAAGAAGGCTTTGGTGCCTCTTGCACCCTGTTGCCTCTCACCTACTACATGTATCTTGTCTTAATGAAGCAAAGCAGAAGACCACCAAACCCCAAACTTTAAACCGCAAAAAAGAAGCAACAGGCAGGAGCAAGATAAGGTGAGCAGCGGCTCGTGACCTCAGAATCTTCACAGAGAGGGGTCCCCCTTGAAAGAGGCCCCGCTAAGCCCAAAACCCTCAACCCCAAACCCGAAACCCTAAACCCGAAGGCCTAAACCCGAAGCCCCAAACCCGAAACCCTAAAGCCGAAACCCTAACCCCGAAGCCCTAAACCATTGGGCTTTTTTTGGGAGTCAGCAGGAGATGGTTCTGGAGAAGCTTCGCAAGGTGAACCCGGACTTCCAGATCCAGTGCCTTCAAAAAATCGTAGCCGACTAGGGGTTAGGGTTTAGGGTTTCGGGTTTAGGGTTTAGGGTTTACGTGCATCTCCAACTTGCCGAAGGCCGTTTTCTATGTCCGTGTTAAACATGTAGGGCTGGGGAGTTTGTGCATGGCGGGAGAAGAAGTATACATGGGAATCCGCAGTTGCACAGATCAGCAGGCAGCAGCTGTGCTCAGGTTCATTGATGGCTTAAAGCCACAGGACATCATTGCAGCGGTGCCTCCTGAGTGACTGCTGTACAGTACCTGGCAGCACCGCCTTTCGTTGGATGTTTGCTTGATCGTCAAGCTGAATGGGCCCTTCCGAGTACTTAGTGTTATCATAGAGGCATTGGCTCAATTATTGCAAGTTCCCTAAACTCCTGGTCGTGAATTGGTTTACGGCGAGAAGATGCTGCAGCCGACAGTTGAGTCGAGCTTCACGGCGTTTGTCATCGCGCTTCTGCAACTGACGGCACACAGTTTCGCTTCGAAAAGAAAGCCATGTTCTAGGACATTTTCAGGTGGATAGTTACCGTTATAGGAGCCTTGTAGAAGGTCTATATACCTTATAGAAACCTTATAGAAGCCCTGTATACCCTAAACTCCCCACCTGCAGTTTCCTTTGACATGTGTCTCCTCGATGCGGGCTGCTCGGCAGCTCCCCTGAACCCTAGAAACCGTGAAGCCCAGCGAAAACTTGACAACTCTGGACCCTAACACCCCAACACCCTGAAACCCTATGCCCTTTTCTGTGAACCCCACTGTGATCTGCAGGTCTCATGGAGATGCTCCGGGCAGAGCGCGGGGAGCCCAGAGGATCACCAGAGTGGGTTTGAGGCGAAGTGCCGAGGCCTTCAGAATTAGGCTATGCTTGTTTAGGACATATTTTCAGCGTTAGACTTAGAATAGGGCTTGTTTAGGACATATCTTCAGAATTAGGATTAGAATAGGCTTGTTTAGGACATATGAGAGTATAGTTTTCCCGAAGCACCCCCCTTTTTTGGAGCTAGACTCGTCAGAGATATTTTTTGTAGTTAGTTAACAAGGAGCTCTGAGGATGCGTGAGGAGTAGTAGTTCTTCGGGCCCCTACGGTTGATATGATATAAATCCTGCATTACCTTAAGGACCCTAAACTACGGGAATTGTGGTGTGTTCCTTCTTACGGGTAGTGCAGGATTTATATCATCAACCGTATGAATCAGGGTTTTGGGTTCGTGGGAGTTGGGGGTAGGATGCGTGGGCCCCCCTTGGAGAGGATCCCTGCAAGTTACCTTCGAGACCCTTGAACTGTAACTCTAGTATATAGAACCCTATAGCACCCTTGAAAGGGAACCCAACTATTTAATTATGGAGCTCTATAGTACCCTTTAAAGGAGCCCTAAACCCTATAACTATAGAGCTCTATAGCACCCTAAAAAGGGAACCCTGTAAACCCTATAACTATAGAGCTCTATAGTACCCTTTAAAGGAACCCTGTAAAACCCCAAAAATAAGGCCGGCAGCTGGTCAAGGAGCTGGCTTTGCGGCGCCGAGCGCCATGGCCTCTCGACTAAACGTGATCACCCCCCAAACGCCAAAAAGACCTACCTGAAAAGCCAAGTAGC